TGTGAGAGACAGACCCAGGAAGGTTTTACAGCGTTACACGGCCCCTGCCCGAGGGCGAGGCCGAGCTCAGGCTCGACAGAGTCGTCTCGGTCCTCGGTGAACATTGTGCAATGCTCCATGCACTCCGCCCTCATCTTCACTCACTTGCACTTCACACTTGTTCGATGTCCCGGTCGGCGTGTTCACGCAAAAAGCACAACCCCGGGCCCGAAATCGCACAGTGACAGTCACGCAACGCGCAGGAGCAAACACCTCTTCTCGCGCGCGCAAACGCCGACTCGCTCGGAGGCCGCACTGGCTGTTCACGTAAATAAAAGCACAACCGGACCCAAGACGCACAAGCACAGACAGTCGAGAAGGGTCAGACAGCAGCGACAGTCAGAATTGATTGATTGATAGTCAGAAGTCAGCGGCTGTTCACACAGACAACCACGGACCCAAGACGCACACGCTCAGAAGAAGTCAGCGGCTGTTCACGTAAACGCACAACCCCGGGCCCGAAAGCGCACAGAGTCACGCAACACGGGGACCCAGGGAAGGCGAGCAAAAACCTTATCGCGCGCGCTAGACGCCGACTCGGAGGCCGCACCGGTCGGGCGCGCAGCCGGAGAGAGAGGGAGGCGCTCAATCGCCGCGCAGCGGCTGTTCACACCTGCTTTCGCTAGTCTGGCTCGGCCTTTATCGGCTCGCCCTGTGCTCGGTCCGCAGTCAGACGGTCCGCAGTCAGACGACAGCGCTCGTTCGACGTCCAACCGTCTGAGAATATGACGCCCCGCTCGCTCTTTGCGCTGCTCGCGCTGCTCTCGTCCACCGATGCCTGCACCATGTACGGCGTCAGCCGCACCGCGAGCGCCGATGGGTCCACCATGGTCTCGCACAGCGACGACGGCGCCGGAGACTCAGATTCTCGGCTCTCGTATGTACCTCCCGCGAGGCACAAGCCTGGCTCGATGCGAGACATCTACCCTACCATCGACGAGTACCCAAAATTCATCGGAGACGCCTTTGGCAAGACCTTTCTGCCGCTTCCAGGGCAGGCGCTCACAAAGCCGATCGGACAAATCCCACAGGTTGAGGCGACGCACGGCTACTACCTCAACGGCTACGCCATCCAGAACGACTGCGAGCTGAGCTTCGGCGAGAGCACCGCCTCGGCGGTCTTCCGTGCCGATGCGGTCGGGACGCCAAACGGCACCGCCCTCCTCGCCATTGAGGCGAGCTGAGCCGCTCGCCGCCACGACCGTCCTGCTACTTCCCCCTATGAGCGTCGGCATTCGGCTGTAGGAGCTGAGCCACCTCGCCGCGGAGCGCGTCTGCACGGCGAGGGAGGCGGTCCAGCTGATGGGCGACCTCGCCGTCCAGTACGGCTTCTTCGGGCCGGATGGCGGCGCGGGCGAGATGCTGGTCGTCGGAGACCCGGACGAGGTCTTCGTCTTCCACATCCTCTCTGACCCGACGGCGAGGAGCGCCATCTGGGCGGCGCAGCGGGTGCCCGAGGGGGAGGTGATGGTGGCGGCCAACCACTTTGTCATCCGCGAGGTGGACCTCGACGACGCGGACCGCTTCCTCGGCTCGCCGCACATGCACCGCGTCGCGCTGCAGCACGGCCTGGGGACGGGAGAGGGAAGCT